ATACTATACAACTCACATATCATTGGCTAATTAAGTACTTATAATTTCTGCACTCCTTTATAGGAACTTATGATTTGGGCCTTGCTGAACGGGCGCTTCGAGTTGGCCTTCTTCTTCTGGGATCGATGTGAAGATGCTATTCCACTGGCCATAATTGCCTGCATCATACTGAAAGCGATATGCAAATCGCTGCCTAAATACGACACGGACAATATCAATGGTATTAGCAACTTGACTGAAAGCTACGAAACAAGAGCCTCGAGTCTAATCGAGAGTATCTCTGAGCTAGAGGGAGTGAGTCACTTATTAGATCTTGCTACTTAGCAACTGAATTTCTTTATTTGAGAGTGCACATTTTTATTATATTTTTTGTCGTCTAGATTTGTCCTTTCATGAAACAGACGTCAACTACACTGAAGATTCCTTATTATCTAGCTTAGGCATGCTCTATTTATGGTATATGTTACCATAAGCTGTTAGAGCAGATTCTTTTACACTCGTATATATATATATATATATAATCTTATAGTAAATTACTTAGCATTCATGTAGTTGTTTATTCGTAGATATTTCAGAGACATTTCTATAATACTTACTATTTCAGCGCTCAACACGAGTGTAAGAGAATCTGCTCTAACAGCTTATGGTAACATATACCATATATATATATATATATATAACGTCACATGTTGGTTACTGATTGTCCCTTTCTGGTCTCCTTGTGATTTCCTTTGTTAAAATTAAAGACACTACATTGTTAAGGGGACCTCCGTTTCGGATGAAAGTGCATGAAGAAGAGATTCGTTGGTCGAGTTCACCAGATGAGGACGGATGAAACTCGTTGTCCTGCAGCCGTTTGGCTTTTATACGATATTCATGTTGACGCAGTACACGAGACTTCCTCCCTCGTTTCGGGGGTAAACGTGCTGAGCTTTCGTCCATCATATGACGGACATCATCAGAGCTGCGTGTCATTCTTGTAAAATTCTCACATTAACACTAAAGCAGGGACACTATCTGGCTCTATCTTACTTCTTATATACACTTAATAGAGCCAAGAAATTAAAAATTAAAAACCTAGATAGATCGATATAGAGTAGTTTGGTTAATTTTCTTTCATACTAGTTCTGTTATTTTTGCTCGATTGTATGAGTATGTGTATTTGTTCGTGTTAGCGTCTACATCCAATACAGTTCCTAAATCAGACTTGTCTAAGGTTAAATCGCAGGTTCTGATCTTCAAGATTTAATGACAAAAGAAAAAATCTTTGTCCGAAACTGCGTAAGTCTGTAAACAAATATCGTGGAGATAATTAAATATAAGTTTGTAAGCATGAAAATCAAGTTAAGAAACCACTTGTCCTAACCATATTGCA